ATTTGACAGAGAGAGACACAGCAAGAGCAGGAACACAAGCAGGGGGAGTGAGAGAGGGAGAAGCAGGTTTCCCGCTGAGCAGGGAGCCCGATGCAGGGCTCAATCCCAGGACCCTGGGATCATGACCTGAGCTGGAGGTAGACGCTTAATAACTGAGCCACCCAGGCGCCCCCTTAAAGACTTTTCTGATGAGCCTTTGATTTTATTCTGTCGATATTTCAAAGATCCACATAACTCAGCAAACCAATAATTTCCAAATGATCAACTTATCATGTTACAAAACAAGCTGTGGGTAAGACATTCTTTCAAAGCGCATGATAGACCGATGAATTTTAAGACACCAGAGCACCAAACATTTATTGATACAGCTTCTAATTCTCCAGCGCAGGTAATCTTTAAGATACCACCATGTTTTAAGTTTCTGCATTGTATTAAACATTATAAAGTATTTTCTGGTTTATTCACTTGTTTTGTTTGTTTACTGTTTGTCTCTCTTGATTGGAAGGAGAGCTCCACAGGGAAAGAAGCTTGTCTACCTTCTTCATCACTGTTTTCCTCAGTGCCTAGAGTAAAACCTAGCATGGAGCAGATGTTTCATAAATTTAAAGAAATAAATATAACCACAAAATGAACTTTTATGTAGCTATCATAGTCTGATTTACCAAGAAATTCTAATGACTTGAGAAAATTCTTAAGATATGTGGCTCTTTTTAAAAGATTCAAAATTATTTATGTGCAAGTATATCCTATATTATACATACTATATAACATACAGTACATAAAATATTACATAGATTGTATGTGTGCATGCATGTGTGTATTTATAGGTGTCCTGAAAAGGTAAACTAACAAAGTTTGTGGGGAGAAAAAATGTTGGGGAAGACCATGGAAAACCCATGTAATTTTGTAGCCATGACATTAAAAGACAATTATTGGTATGTAGGGATAGCTCAGACAGATAGTTTAGCAGGCAGAAGGCTATTGTTATGGAAACTTGAAATTGTTTCATAACATTTTAGAGTTATTTTCATGACCTGCTTCATGTAGATTATTTACAGAATTGAAAAATTTCATGTTCAGCTGAAGAAACTGACTTGGGGGATAGAAGAAACAGCTTCCCCTAAGGGTCTGCCACTACAGGGCTGTGTGTCCCGGAGTGGGTCTTGTAATTTTAGTGGGTCTTTACTGATAAGGAGATTGAGACTGAGTTGCATGACCCCCAAATTCATCCCGATGGTTAAATCCTGTGATGTAAAGAATCATTTAAAAGTCAAGAAATTTTTTGGTGGGTTCCTTTAATCATATAATTACTATATTGTTGTTTTGACCTACTCAACTACTCAAGATGAAAAATGTGTTTGAAGTCCTTATCCATTAGAAAACCTCTTCCAGTTGGATTCTAAAAGAACTTACTTTTAGGAGTTTTTAGGAAAAGAAAGATTCAGATGGTTCCCAACTTAGGATGGTTCAACTTCCAATTTTTCCACTTTATGATGGTGTAGAAGACATGTGCATTCAGTAGAAACTTTACTTTGAATTTTGAATCTTGCTTTCTCCTCCAGAGCTGGTGATATGCAGTAAATACTCTCTGGTGATGCTGGGCAGTGACAGCGAACCACAGCTCCCAGTCAGCCAGTGGTCAGGAAGGTAAACATCCAAAACTGACTACTATTCTTCACCCATACAACCTTTCTGTTCTTCACTTTCAGTACAGTATTCAATAAATTACATGATATTCAACACTTTCTTATAAAGTCGGATTTGCATTGGATAATTTTGCCCAACTGTAGACTAATGTAAGTATTCTGAATAAGTTTCAGTTAGGTTAGGCTAAGCTATGATGTTTGGTAGGTGAGATGTATTAAATAAAATTTTTCACTTACTACGTTTTCAACTTACAATGAGTTTATTGGGACATAATCCCATTGTAAGTGGAGGAACATCAGTATGTGTTTTAAAATGATCTGTCAGACAACTAGGTAACAACGCCAATGATGTCTGTTTTTTTTTGTTTTGTTTTGATGGTAATACCACACATATCCTCTGGAAAACCAACCCAAAAATCCATATGAAAAGAAAATTACATCAACCACAGGTCTTGTGCAGATGCAGGAGTAAAGAGGTCAGAACACCTGATGTACTCTATCATCCCCGTCTTTGTAACTGTCCTACCGAAAATATGCAGCCTCTGAGATCCCCACCCCACCCCACTCCTGATCGTGGTTCTGGTGAAAAGCAGAATCATGGCAAGCTGTGTGGGGACAGGGAGTGCAGCCTTACCTTTGACCGTCACGTGGACACTCTGGCTGGTGGAGAGCTGCGGTTGAACCAGCACATTGCACGTGTACTCTCCCTCATCCACTTCTTTTTGCACATCCGAGAGTTTTAGAGTGCCGTTGTTCTCAAATGCCACTTGGCGATGGTTGAAAGGAAGCAGATTAGAGTTCTTGTACCATTTGATGGAGTAATAGGGATAGCCAATCACACGGCAGTGGATGTACGTGTCCCGCCCTGCTATCGCTGTGATATTTTTCATTGGTCGAATGCTTGCAGGCCCTAGAGAGACACAAAGAAGCTATTGAAAATAATTTAAGGGTACATCTCATGTGTGGAAATGGGTGCACTTTTCCTTGAGTAAAGAAAAAAAATGTAGATTATTTTCATGTAAAAACGTCTTTTTCAATTAAACAATTTTTTCTGTGTTTGGATTTTTCTACTCAGAAGTTCTTTGTTTCCTTTTAGTTTCATTACTTTCAAATGAATTGAATGAAGTGTTAAAAACTTTCATTATCAACTACTTCTATTAAAACATTTCGAATTACAAGACAAGAGGCGATTTAATCAACAAAAAGTAACTAGTCTCCACTGAACCATCATGCTGTTTTTGTGAAAACACTGGTAGCAATTCAATTTTTAAACTGTCTCTGTGGAGTAGGTTATGAAGATGGAGGTTATGCCATGTTGAACTATGAATGTAAGTTAAAATACCATGTACATGAAGGTTTACCATGAATGTGGTAGAACAGAAGAAGAGGAGGAAGGAAAGAGCATGCAGAGCATAAACCAGGAAAGGAAAGATCAAGTGGACAAATCTGAGAGTAACAGAGAACAAGCTGACTGAAGAAACCAAAATGCCTTTTTTTTTTTTTCCACATTAACCCAATCAGGGCCATTCTGGAGTTAGAAGGAAAGGGTAGGAAATGGGAAGCAACAGTTAATCTGTTTTGGCATTCCAAGACTCAGCTCGGTGCATGCAGAAACTTTCTTCTCCACTACAATGAGTTATGTGTGTTTTTTTGAGGAGCTGATTTGACAAGCACCTCTTACGTTTATTCGAGCCTGGTACAGGACGACTCCCGCCGAGTTGTTAGCAGTGCAGCGGTAGACTCCCCCATCCCGGACCTGAGAGCTGGAGATGTTCAGGTAGCTGACCACGTTTCCCTCCGACGTGATCATCTGGCTGATGCGGTGACTGCCACCCTTGAGGATTGGGTCATCGTCCAGGGTCCACGTGATCGTGGGTAATGGGGTTCCCTTCACGTTGCACATGAGGGACACTGGTTCTGCTGGGCTCACCACTTTTTCACTAAAGGCAGAAATAATTTTGGGAGTTCCATCTGCAGAAAGACAAATTATGGAAGGAAGTGGCACATACAAATAATTAAACAACTTCCAAGTCCATTTATTTAATGATTAGGAGGTAGATGTGTTGGTTATTAAACACTACAAAAAAAAAAAAGTCTAGTTTTATGGATAAAGTTAAATTCCAAGCAGAACAAGATTTCATTTTCAAAATGGGCAAATACAGTATTAACAAGCTTTAATTACTTATATATTTCCTGGTTGTCATAAGAAGAACAATCATGCAACCCAGATGCCCATGGTACACAGTGTCAGCTCCCAAGAAATATATAATCTGGAACTGTTACATCCCCACCAGAAGTTATAAACACAGAGGAAATTCACCCCTCTAAATGGTCACATTAGCTTTCCACTTCTGCAATAATTAGGGCTCGCTCACCAGGGAATAAAGGAAAGGTTGAGGGATTGATTATCTCACCTTACTCATTTTCTCATAAGAAATCATCCTTTAATTATTGAACTCTACATCTGGAACTAATGATGTACTATATGTTAGCTAATTGAATTTAAATAAAAAAAAGAAATCATCCTTTATAGTTTTAATGATAAATGGTAAGTCCGTGTAAATGTCCATGAAAGCTCTGAAAATGGCTAAAAGCCAAATAAACTCTGAGCGTTCCAGTGTGTATTAAATATCTCTGTAAGTATCTTAAGTTGGTGGCTATACAATTTATCATCCAACCTGGGACACTTTTGAGAATGAAACAGACACTAGGAGCAATTATGCCAGGAAGACAGGCACAGCCTCAAACTGTCCCAGGCAAAGTAGGATCTAGGTCTTAGGGAGTTTTCCATAGGAATTTCCAATATTTTCAACAAAGATAAAACTTTCATACTCCATTGTTGTGCTATCATATATATGGACCATTTGCCTCACACTGTATGTTAGTAATCACAAATGCATTGCTGATAAGTTGGAAAGCAAAACAAATGGAGGGAACACATCTGAAGCTAGCTCACAATGCCATCACAGAAAGGTAACTGTTAACACTCCCAAGTACTCTGAAGAGTTTCTCATCCCCAGCGCCCCCGAAAACTGGAAGCCTATTTCTGTGGCCAGTGAGGCCAGCTGTGTAGGGTTCTCCTGATGGGGGTGCTGTGCTAAGCCCTCTACCATCTTTCCTCTTGCAAATTCCTGAATGTCAACTCCGTTCTAATTCCTGGGTGACTGGAGAAGGCCCTCAAGTATGTTTTTTTTTCCCCTCATGCAATCATAAGTGGCATATTTCAGTGTTCTTGGATAGCAAGCATCTTGCTTTAGTACAAAAGATGAAAACAAGGACTTCATAATATTGAAGTAAAGAACCTGTGCAGACACTGCTACATCATGCTTTGCCTTATGGAGAAGTTAGATGTCCCTGTGATTGTTATTCTTTGTACATAATCAGCTGTTGAAGCTTAGGAATGTTATTTATTTTTTTCTTTTTTTTTTAATTTTTTGGGTTTTTTATTTCAAACACTTAGGAATGTTATTTTATTTAATCTTACAATTCACATTTTTCTCATGATGTGCTGAGCTGTAAATTTCTTTGCACTGATTTTTACACAACATACTGAAAACTTGTCTTTTTTTATCTATTTAGGAAAGTTTTCTTCAGTTATTCTTTTCTTTTGTAGATAAAATTTACATACAGTGAAATTTACAGATCTTAAGTGTACAAACAGAATGAGCTTGTTAAATATGTACACTGTGTAAGCACCCAAATGAGCACGATGTAAAGCATTTCATCACCCCAGAACATTCCTAGGGCTCCTTTCAATCTCACCAGACAGAGGCAGTCACTGTCCTGATTTCTTTCACCCTGAGTTAGTTCGTCTGTTCTTGAGCTTCAAATCCATGTGGTCATAGAGTTGTGTGGTCTCTCTATACAGCAGATATTCTACCATCACCACAGCAGTCAGCAAAATTAAGAAATGTAACTTTGGACCAGTATGACCACCTAACATGAAGTCCATATTGAAAGGCGGCCAGCTGACTGAACATGTCCCTCTCAGCTACTTCCCCCATCCCAACCAGTATCATACATTCCATTTATTTGCCATGCTTCTTTAGTCTCCTTCAATCTGGATCGTTCTTTCATCTTTTTTGTATTTCTTGACTTTGACATTTTTGAAGAATTATACGATAGCCAGTTGCTCAAAGTGGTTTTTTTCTCTTTCCACATAATTAGATGCAGTTTATACATTTTTGGCAGGAGTATCACGGAAATAATATTGTCTTCATGTGATTATTGGCCATTGGTGTATCTCCTTTTGTGAAATATCTGCTCAAATCTTTTGTCCATTGTTATGTTAGACTACCTTTTTATTGATTTATAGGAGTTCTTTATTATGCTGAAGATAAGTATTTACCAGATATCTTCTAATGGCCAAATATATTTGTCAGGTATATTAAGTAAATATGTGTGTCAGACATATATATAGTATGTATTATAGCTGTGTATGTTTGAATGTGTAAAATTTTCTTCCAGTTTGTAGTTGCCTTTTATTTTCTAAATGATGTATATGCCTTTGACTTTTAGTGCTTCCTTCATCCCAAGAAAGCTTTGTAAATCCCCCAAATGATGAAGAATTCTTCTATGCTCACTTTTAGAGACTTCATAGTTTGGTATTTTATATCCTAGTCTATAATTTAGAGCAAATAAAATCTGTACAAGATATAAGGTGTGAGGTACGAATTGATATTCGTTTTTTTGTATTATGTTCATTGAGTAGTTTCAGTATTGTTTGTCAAAAAGATTTTCTTTTAGCTTAGGAATATTGTGGACTCTTTTTTTAAATTTTATTTTATTATGTTATGTTAATCACCACACATTACATCATTAGTTTTTGATGTAGTGTTCCATGATTCATTGTTTGCAAATTT